TGCTTGCTCATGGTTTTAATTAATCTCTTTGTACTAGTATTAGTATAACAGATCTTAATGTGTTAAAATCAGCATCCATATTCATTCTTTTTCCAAGAACCATTTCATTTTGCAGAAAATGGACGAAACCAGATCCCGAAGGAGCCGTCGCACCGGTGGCAGCTCCGAAAACATTCCCGATGGTGCTACTCTAGGAGAGTACATGCTAAACCAAGCCAGACCAAGAAGAAGAAGCTATGTGATGAGATTGCTCCAGCACTCAAGAGAAACACGAGCAGCTCCCGAGCCACCACAAATTCGATACATTGGGAGGGAGACAAACCCGAGAGTGGACTATGCAAGGCGTTTCAAGAAGCATGATTTACATGGTTGCGAGGACGCTACTCCAGCTTTCGGGAGTGCTATTACAGCGATACTACAGGCTGTAGGATTCGATTTCTCATCTGATGATCCACTTCCCGATGTCTGGTATGATCTACTTTATCTCTCTCGCGATCACATTATCTCTCGTGCCGCTTTCGATCCAGACAGGTTTGGTTACAAATATTGCAAGGGCACCGAGGAGCACCGAGTCCGCTTACGTTCAGCATCTATCCCGAGATTGTGCAACGGAGGACGCCTACGATGGACTCCGGTATCCGATGATTTTCTGCCATCTGTACCTCGTCTACCATTCACCATTGGCTAATACATAGTGGCCAAGGCGAAGCGTGATGCAGCTGCGGCCCGTGCTCATTTTCAGCCATCTATTTCGACTGGCCACACCTCATCATTTACATCATCACACACTCATTCCGATCTGGAGCGCAGAGTTGAGAGACAGGGACGATGCTTTGAGCGCGTTGTCACCTTCTTACAGGAGCAGCACCAGTTCGCAGACGACACTTCACTACCATCACAGTTCTATCACCATTTTCTTTTCTTTTATTATATTATATTTTATTTTGCTTTTATTCACCATGTTCTCACCAACTTTTTCACACTAGGGACAGTGTGATTTAAGTCTGGGGGAGGATGTCTATCCGTACTAATCATGTTCCTGCTTTGCTTTTAAATTTCAAGTACTTTTTAAATTTTAATATGTAACCTATTCGACATTAAGTATTTTTCAGGAATGTTTGACGCAAAACTATGATGATTTAGACCTGCACACTTCTACACTATGCATGATAGCTCATTTGTGGTTAGCACTAGACTAGGCGGTAGCTAGAGTACTTGCACTACAAACTCCCACCAGAGGACTTCTATTCATGGAGATTCTTTCTGACAGGATATACTAGCTCATTTTCTTTGGACTTGATATTGATATCTAATTTTCTCATCATTGATTTTAGGCAGGCATCGACATACACATCTAGGAGATCTTTTACCATCACTTTTACCACTATTTGTCGTCCTAGATGACCAGTTTATCTTTATCTGGTACCATACCCTAAACCCAAAACCCTTGTTTTCAATCCTCATGCATTCTCTCTTTAGTTTATATCAGCAGATATGTGCAAAAACGTCGGAGAGAAGAGGAGCGACGCAGTTTTCAGTCACTCACAAAGGAGACTGAATGGAATTGGGAAGGAAGAGTATCAGAAACATAATAAAGCTTTACAAGACAGATATTAACTGGTAAATTCGTGCTCTCTAAGACTCTATATCTAAAGGTGTTTTCTCCAAAAAACAAAAAAAAAAAAAAAAAAACGTGAAAAGAGAAAGGGACTTGAACAGTCAATCCAACAGCTTGTTATGACGAACGAAAAAGCATCTAAAGACGTGAACGTGAAAGTGGACTGCATGTACAATGATCTGAATGGTAAGTTTGAAACTTTATCTTCGCACGTAAAAAAGTTAAATTTGCAAGTCGCCCAAACAGCCGACTCTATGAAGAGGCAAAGTGGAGTACTTCCAGGAAGAGTTGAAGATAACCCTAAGAAGTTTTGCAACGCCATAACCACATTGCCTGAAGAAGCGGCCGGAACCGATGGAAAGAAAGAAGAAACCCCAATCCTTGTACCACTATACAAAGATATCGATCCCAAGCAGCCACCGTTTAAGGTACCTGAACGATCACCGTTTCAAAGGCTTACAAAAGCCGATGATCCGGGACGTTTTGTTTTCCAGTGTTTCATTTCAGGAATCAAGTTTACCGACTGCTTGTGTGATTTCGGAGCCAATGTCAACATCATGTCTAAGGCATTTGCCGAAAAATTGGGCATAAAAACCTTAAGGACATCGACGGTTAAGGTTATCTTTGGAGATTCATCTCAAAAAGATACTGAAGGGGCGATTCATGATCTACAAGTTCTAGTGGGAGATAAGATTGTTCCAGCATATTTCCAAGTCCTGGAGATGGATAAAGACAAGGAGAGGCCACTCATTTTCGGGAGACCATTCCTAGCTACAGTAGGAGCAATTATCGATCACGCAAACCGGCATGCTGTTTTCCTCAATGTGGACAGAAAAAAGTACTATCCTACTATCTTAGATGAATTTCCAAGCAAAGGAAACAGGCCAAAAGAGAAAGAAAAGGAGAAGCCGATAGAAAAGGAGGCAACCCATTTAGGTACTCTTTCTTTTAGTTTTCTTTTCCTTTTTACAATTTATGCTCTCTTTTTCTTTTTAAGTTTTAGGTATGTTATAAAACAAAAACACAAAAAAATCAGAAAATTAGAAATACCAAGAAGAAAAGGTAGGTTTTTAGCTGCTCGGCCCGGCAAAAACGAGAAGATTGGACAATAGGTCGCAGGAGGAAGAGCCAAGGTCGCGACCGTTCGACCCGCGGCCAAGGGTCCATCGACCGCGGCACCGTGAACGTGACCGCGGCCAAGCCCTCAATCACCTCGGTCGCGCGTCTTCTGACCGCGGCCGTTGGTCGTTGAGGTGACGCCGCGGATTTCTGCCGCTTTTTGGTGTTGTCTGGTGTTTACCTGGTGTTACCTGGTGATTCCCGGTGATTCCCGGTGTTTCCCGAAATGATTTGGAACAGCAAAATTGTTGCAATAGTACACTTTTCATTGAACTTGTTCTTCATGGGTGCTTGACCTTGCTTCTTGAAACTAGTGTTGTTTCGTGGAGGAAACTTGTTAGGCACAGCCTTGTTGGATGGTTTGCCTTTGCCCTTTTTTCTGTACTCAGCCACGTTTGCATCATGGGTCATGATCTGACCGTCTTCTTTTCCAACTTTGTCACGTTTCAGTGACTCATTCTGCAATATGGAGATCAGATTTGCCAGCTTTCAAATGCACTTGGTTTGGAGACATTCCAACGGTTGGATCTCAAGATATTCCATTAGCCCCGGAGCCACTCGAAGTCGGTCAGCAACTCACGCGACCGCGACCAACAAGCTATTTGCCGCGGTCAGAAGCTTCCCGACCGCGGCCAACAAGCCAATTGCCGCGGTCACAACACTCCCGACCGCGGCAATCAATCTCCGAGTTAAAGCCCACTTATCTGAAGCCCAAAGTCATTCTCAGCCTCAATTCCGGAACCCTAGAGACCATGGAGTATTAGAGACTATAAATACATGTCATTTAGGTCGTTTTTAGACACAACCCTTCATACTTTACAGAAACCCTTTTCCTTTAGCCGTTTTTATGAGATTTTTGTAGAAGATTGTTCAAGTCCGAGTTCTTCAATAGAGAAGCTTTCTTTATCTCTTTTCTTTACTGTTTTTCATTACTTTTATTAAAACCAATGAGGATGTCGAACTCAGCCATGTCTGAGTAGATCCCGAGTTGGGCTTAGGGTTCCCGAAAGGGGCTCTCATAATCGATTAAGACATCTAGGTTAATAGATCTGGGATTTCGACCTGTTCTCTGTTTATTCTTGTTCTTATTGCATGTATGCTTGATTGATCACCTAGTATCTGATCTAGATAGTTAGTGTTGCGAAAGTTTTCATTAAGTATCAGCCCTAGAATGAAACAAGCGATTTTTCCGTAGGAGTGGAAACCTACCTGCGGCGAGATCGTGAGTATTGACGAGTCTTGTGCAGCTCTTGCGTTCTCTCCCTTCCAGGGCCAGAGTGGAAACCTACTGGTCAGGGTTGCGAGAAACAGTTGGTTATGATCACGACAGTGACGTAGTCATACCGCCGTACTCTAGCTCTAGAACCCATATATCGTTATCCGTTAATCCCAATCTATCTACCTTAGTGTTAAAACCGATTATGATCCATTAGAGTTCCCAAAAGCTTAGCGTTTTTAGCCATAGTTTACAATTCCATCGATTTGTACTTGCTTTCTTAGACCTGCATTTCAATTTCCTTAGTTCATTTTTTACTTGCTTTATTTACCTTTCATGCGATATTTTACTTGCCTTATTAGTCTTTCATTCGATATTTGCTTATTCTAATTGCATTTCATTCGATTTTCTTACCCGCTTTTTAGGATAGATTTATTTGCTTTCTTTTGTTTTAGTTTAATTCGCAAGAAAAACAACCACCCTTTAAAACCAAATTAGTCTAGACATAAAGTTAAAAAAACCGTAGAAGAATACCAGGCACACAAATCTCTGTGGATTCGATCCCTAAATACTGCAACTGATCAGCTGTGCACTTGCGGCTTTCATTTGTTTTGTTAAGGGTAAAACTTGTTCCATCACGCAGTTTACACGACCATCACAATGCCGAGGCGAGTATCTCTCCTGAGAGAGATGATGGGGGCGCCAAACCGCGATAGACCCTATCAACCAGGGTGACGATAGTGCCGAGGCGAAAACCTTCGTCGATCGAGATGACAAAACTGTCGAGCTTCAAAGCCCTACCGAGCGCGGCAACAGTGGTGCCAAAGCGAGCACCTCTGCTGACCGAAGCGATGAGGTTGCCGAGATCGAGAGTTGAGACAAATTCGTCGAGGCCGAGCGAGGTCTTGTGCCGACTTTAGCGAGGATTTTGTCGATGATCTTGCGGCACATATTTTTACGAGATCTCATGACGGCAGGGCGGATATCTCGACGGGCTCTTCCCATGGTTCGGCTCCCAACCGTGGCGATACTATCAATCTTTTTAAGGTGAAAGCCGAGGAAGAGATTTTTTCATTCTACCCAGTCGAGGCGAAGCGAGAAATTGAACGCCTAATCTCGAGCCGAGCCGCCTCGTCTTCCAGGCAAACTAGGGTTCAAAAGAAGAAGCTACGACCAGATCCTCCCGGCTCTTCCTTATCTTCAGTCGAATCCCTAGAAGCCCTTCGTAATCGTTTTGGGATTTCCAAGGAGGTTGAGTTCGTCGTACCGAGGCCCACCGATCGTGCTCATCTTCCGCCTGCCGATCACTTCACCGTCTATGAAGGCTTCTTTGATCTCTGCTTTCTGTGGTTCCCTATTCCCGAAGTGATTCTTTGAACCTTTGGAAACACGGGATATCTATTGATCAGATTAAGCCGAGAGGACTTCGGTATATGATCGGGATTTTGGTGCGGAGTTACGAATCTCGCATAGACATCAAACTTGACTACCTGCTGAATTCGTTGGAAATCTGTAAGGCTCCTGGTGGGAAGAATTTTGATATCTCGAGCAAGGCGCGCCGAAAGATTATCAGCGGCTTTCCCAGCAAAGACAGTTTTTGGGATGATTGTTTTTTCTTCGTCCGGGTCAACAGGGCATCAATTGGTGATAACTTTATCCGCAAGACCAAGACCGATTGGGGACCGCTTGGTATCCGATCGATGTCTTCCTTCGGCTCGGAAGATTTCGGATTTTATATCTTGATTCTAATGTTTTCATTGTTTAGTTGTTTTGCAGTTCGCGATTTCCTTCCTCCGTGTCACGACGATCTGTTCGTGGTTTGGGATACACTAGCTGCTGGGAGGACTAATTGGAAATGCCACTTCTCCCTCGAAAGAGTTAAAAGAGCCCGATCCATTTTAGTGGGGGTTTCGGTTAGCTCGGAGTTATCCAATTCATCAAGAGATACACAAGATAAACTGGTGGTGGAGACTTTCAGGGAAAGGAAGAAGAGAGAAGCTGAGGAGATTGCCAAACGAGCTGAGGAAATTGTCAAACGAGGGGAAGTCATGTCTTCTCCTGACGAGCCGAGGACTGCGCACAAACCTAGCGACGAGGCGCATGTTGTTGATTCGGGAGATGCCGAGGGCAAAACTGGCGATCACGAAGAAGGGGGATTGCTGCCGAGACGACCTCCAACATCCCCGACGAACAGAAAGATTCTGCTGGTTTTTTTCTCTGTCTGTCAGTTTATCGCTGCGGTGAACGAGCTGTTGGCTGGGTACGAAGCCGACGCGCTCAAGGATGAGCGTCGTGTGGACGAGGCAAAACATGACGCTTCGCTGTCCAAAACCGAGCTGGACAAAGCATTAGCAAGAATTGCTGCGCTGGAGGGAGAGAAAGGGACTATAAAGGCCGATCTTGATAAGGCGGTTATTCGTTTTGAGGAGTCTCGGGTCCGAAAGAATAGCGAAATTGCTTCCTTGAAGAGGCAGATCGCGGCCAAGGATGCACTTCTTGAGTCTCGGGTGAAGGTCGCTAAAAAGGAGGACAGGCATGAGGCGGCGGCTAAGTTCCAGGAGCGTCTAGCCGAGATCGAGAAGAAGATGGGAGATTTGGAGAAGGCAAAAAGAGATGAAAACGACCTCGGTCAAATTCGGAGCAACCTTGTTCTTATCGGCGACCTTTGGAAACCAGATGCGAGCCTCGACATGGAAGAGGAGAAACTGAAGAGCTGGGAGGCCGAGCTGATTGGAGCCGAGGAGGTGTTCGAGCATCCTGTCACAGATCTGAGGGAGAAATTAGTCGTTTTTCCGGTTTCCCCGGACTCCGTTGACTCTTGTATGGGTAACAAGCCGCTCGACGTATCCGCCGCTGCGGTTGGAATTGTGGATCCGACGGGATCTAACATGAACACCCCGAGGGCTAATGATCTTGCAGCTGAGGGCGTCTTCGATCCGAACCAGGAGGGATAGTTGATTTTTTGAGTTTTTACTTGTGTTTTTTTGTGTCTGGATGGCTTTATCTGTATTCATGCTCTTCCTTATTTCTGAACCTTGTGCCTGGATGGCTTTATCCACTTAACCGTTGAACTTAAGTTTGTATGATAGTGACTTTTTCCATCTCTTGCTTGAATCGCCTGTTTTGCCTTACCAATTTTGTGGAAATTGTGTGTCGTGTGTTGCGAGCTGTTTGTTTGAGAAAAGTTCTTGTCAAAAGTGGGTGTTTTCAGGTAGTTTGTTGAGCCGAGTTAGGGATGCTTTTGTTGTTTTTTTTTCTGGTCGAGCTGTTCTAAAAATTTGATGGAATGTCTTGAAAAAGCTGTTTTGATACCCTAAATATCGAATGGATCTTATAAAATGTCAAATGAGTAGCGCTCCCGAGCTGGGAGGTATGTCCTTGTTTAGACAATTTTCGCAAAGGGAATTGACGTTCCTTTATGTCTTTGAATGTTAATACCGAGGTGTTGAGTTAGAAAAGGGAAAGCATATAACGAGGTATTTTAACTCAGATATAGTTTTAACCTTCTGAGGCGTTAAGTTTGAGTTACTTGTTGTCGAGGCTTATGTCCTGAGTAGACGGTATTAGAATTTGATTATAGACCGGCGTTCCCGAGAGGGTGAATGCGTTTGCCGGGATTTAAGGGTTTGCCTCGGTTTTAGAGAAAGCTATGTAGTCTCGACTTATAATCTCGTGTGCGATGGTGAACCGTGGCGACCGATACGTTTTTGGTCTGAATTTGTATAGCGCGCTTAATTTTAATCAGTAGAGGATGTAACTTTCACCCTCGTCCTAGGAAATATGGTAAAAGTCCATTTAGAGAACTTTGTGATTATTGTCTCGTTGTGGCCAGCAACGAGACGAGGTGTTTGAAATAAGAAAAGTTTTGCCGAAGCAAATGCAAGGATATGTAAAAGTCTAGGTGAAGTGAAAAACAAGTGGGTAAGTGAATGAAAATGAGTTTCTCAAAAATTTCCAAAGTGACTATAAGTGAATGAAAAATTTCGCCGAAGTGAAAATTAGTGAATGAAAAACTAGAAAAAGTGAATGAAAAATTCGCCGAAGTGAATATGATCTTAGAGACTGTAGACTCGACGGGCTAAAAATCTTAAAAATGATGTAATATAAGTGTATACGTACCACCCTCTCCTTCTTAGGAGGGGGGACAGCTGAACCCGCCGAGGACGGGCTGCCTACATACCCTTTGTAGGGATCAAGCCGTCCCGTAGTTCATGTTGATCGTGTTGTAGTCGTAGTGATAATTCTTCTTTAGGTGCATTGCATTCCACGATCTGGGAATTGCTTCGTCAGCTACTGTCGCAAGTTCGTAGACTCCTGAGCGAACTACTTTTGTAATTTTGTAGGGGCCTTCCCAATTTGCTCCGAGCTTTACTGCATTTCTCTCTACAGTGTTTTGGAAGACTTTTCGAAGGACGAGGTCTCATTCTTTAAATCTTTGGCTTCGGACATTTTTGTTGTAGTATCTTGCCGTTGCTTGTTGGTAGTTCTGGATTCAGATTAGAGCCTGGTCGCGCCTTTCCTTGATCAAGTCGAGCTCATCCAGCCTCATTAAGTGATTCAAACCTTCCTGTCCTGGCAGAAGTCTTCGTCAAATTCTGGGGAAATCCACCTCGGGGAGGGATTACGCACTCTGTTCCATAGACGAGAGCGAGTGGAATTTCTCCAGTGGCTCGGCGCGGAGTCGTCCAATGCGACCAAATGACTCCTTCGAGTTCTTCTGCCCATCGTCCCTTCTTGGCGTCGAGCCTCTTTTTCAAGCCATCTAGGATTGTCTTGTTAGCCGCTTCGGCTTGTCCATTCCCTTGTGGATATCTTGGCGTGGATTTCCTCAGACGGATTTTCCATTTCTTGCAGAAAGCTTCGAAGCGAGTTGAGATGAACTGAGATCCGTTGTCGGTGACTATTTTGTAGGGGAATCCATGCCGGCAGATGATATTTTTCCAGACGGAGTGTTCGACTTGAACGTCCTTTATGCTTGCGTAAAAATCGGCCTCGACCCAGATGAAGGGTTTAGGGATTGCCGTCACCTCAGAGAGGTCGATTCTCATCCTTCTGAGTGTCTCCCTGAAGATAACGTCTACCGAGCTCCCGGTATCGATGAGTAATCTTGCTACATCGTTGTCTCTGATCGTCAGCTCGATCACCAGTGGATCGGTGTGTGGTCTATCTATCCCTGCCGTTTCCTCCTCGACAAAAGAGATTACCGTGTTTGGGATATCGGTTGGTTTGGTCAAATTCTCCTTTGCTTCGGCTCGGCACTGATAGGCTTTGATGGAAGATACCGTGTCTTGGTAATATTGGGATCCACCCATGATCATGTTGATCCTTTGTCTCGGCTCGGGTCATTCTTCAGGTTGACCTCCCCTGTCGCGCTTGGTATTATCGCCTCGTTAGGGCGGATTTATGGGTTCTGCCGCACCACTCTGCTCGGTTCCCTCTTTTGGCTCGGTAGAGATGAGGTCTTTAAGATTCACCGTGCTCTGGAGCTTTCCTGCTGCCATTTTAGCCGCGAGTTTTGCTCCTAGGGTTCGGCATTGCGCCGTCGAGTGCCCATAGGTTTGATGATACTCTCAGAACGCCTTTTCGTCGTAGTTGGTGGGCCTCCTTACCCAAGTGTTTCCACGCGGCTCTTCCCTTCTGTGTCCAGCGCCTACTTGGTAGTTGTGGGCGCCTCTGCTTCTTGGTTCCTCCGAGCTTTGTGTTGTTGCGTTGTTCAAAGGGTTACCTTTCTTCGGGGGATGTTTTAGGATTGAGCTCCAGATTGCTGCTTTCGTCGTTTCATACTGCTCGTCCAGATTTTTCATTTCTTCTTCATTTACGACGAAAATTCTGATGACCGATGTAAGGCATCCTGAATTTTTGGCAGTGTGTTGAGGGCCATCTCCCGTCGGAAATCGGATTTATACCACAAAGATCGCTTCAGAGCCTCGAGTGCAGCCTTGTCGCTTATTCCTTCAACTTTGAACACAACCGCTTTGAATCTTGCCATGTAGTCTCGAAGTGCTTCGTTCGGTCCTTGGGATAGCGTCCATAGGTCGGCGTCAGAGGTTCCTCGATCCATGAACATCGAATACTGCTTGAGGAACAAAGCGGAGAGCTGTTGGAAACTGCCGATTGAGTTATGCTCCTGTCTCGAAAACCACTCCTATGCGGCTCCCTTGAGATGTTCAACGAATAGTACGCAATATCCGGCGTCCACTTCCCGCTCGGTCAGATTGGCAGCATTCCAAGGCTCGTCCCATTGCTATTCAAATCGCTGTGGTGTGCGCCTTCGGGTCAGTAGAGCTTTCGTAGAACGGGATTCTAACTATGCCAGGCTCGGGGATCCTAGCCTCCGTGATTCTTGCTGTGAACGGTGTTCTCTGGCGTGGCGCTTGTCGCGTTATGCACCTGAGATTTCATGGCACGTATTCTCGGCCATAGTCCAAGCCATTGAGGCTCGCAGCTCTTCGATCTCGAGGGTTTGTGCGCGGGTCGTTCTCTTAGATTGGCGAAGTTGCTCCTGATCTTCTCTCCTCGGCTCGTCTTCATGCTCTGCTTGCTCGACCCATTGGAGATTTTCCTCTTCCTCAGTTGGGTTGTCGTCCTGAACCGGGTCGGCTTGAATGCCATTTAGTGCCGAAGCAAGCTCTTCTTGACTTATCCGCCTAGCCGAGCCGTTTTGTTGCGAGTTCCTGGTTGTGTCGTTTTGTTGGGCGTCCACGTCGATCAAGTCGTTCTCCTCTCTTCGCCTCGTCGTCTTGAATTCTGACGAAGGGGAGGCGGCTCGCTCACATTGATTCGGGTTGCTGCAGGGGTTTTCTCGCCGAGGGGACGAAACATTGGCGGAGCCATGAGATTTCTTGTGCCGCTACCCGAGGCTCCTGCTGGTGTTGAGAAATTGAAGCGCCTCCTAACTCCATCTATCAGGTCAGAGATCCTGGCTCTCCAGGTCGGGTGTCGTCTTTCAGCCGTCATCGCGTCGAGTCTTTCCGTGATCGCCTCGTTCCTTTTGTCCTGCTCGTCGATTTTCGTATCCATCATGTTTCGCATCTCCTCTTGGGTTTCAGTTGTCGCCGTTGTTGTGCCCGATGGTGGAGCGTCCTTCTCTGCGCCGTTATCGTTGTTGTTGTTGTTGTTGTTCTCGTCATCGGAGGTGTTGCTTGCCATGTTCTTAGGATCTTAAAGTCTTGTCGATTTTAGAGTAAGAAATTTTTGATTCCCCATAGACGACGCCAAATTGTGTGAGCCAAAACTCGCACAACCAAAAATTTGTTAAGTAAAACTTAAGGGATCCGAAATCTTTAGGGTTTATCACAAAATCAGTAAGATTGAAAGAAGGTTTTTCGCTGAAAAATTTCGCCGAAGTGAAAATTAGTGAATGAAAAACTAGAAAAAGTGAATGAAAAATTCGCCGAAGTGAATATGATCTTAGAGACTGTAGACTCGACGGGCTAAAAATCTTAAAAATGATGTAAGTATAAGTGTATACGTACCACCCTCCCCTTTTTAGGAGGGGGGACAGCTGAACCCGTCCGAGGATGGGCTGCCTACGTACTCTTTGCAGGGATTAAGCCGTCCCGTAGTTCATGTTGATCGTGTTGTAGTCTTAGTGATAATACTTCTTTAGGTGCATTGCATTCCACGATCTTGGAATTGCTTCGTCAGCTACTGTCACAAGTTCGTAGACTCATGAGCGAACTACTTTTGTAATTTTGTAGGGGCCTTCCCAATTTGCTCCGAGCTTTCCTTCATTCCTCTCTACAGTGTTTTTTTGGAAGACTTTTCGAAGGACGAGCTCTCCTTCTTTAAATCTTTGGCTTCAGACATTTTTGTTGTAGTATCTTGCCATTGCTTGTTGGTAGTTATGGATTTGGATTAGAGCCTGGTCGCGCCTTTCGTTGATCAAGTCGAGCTCATCCAGCATCATTAAGTGATTCAAACCTTCCTGTCCTGGCAGAAGTCTTTGTCGAAT